AACCAAGCCGCTCCCATCATCATATCGGAAGCAATACAAAATGATAACCTAAACCAAACAAGAAGAGAATGACGGAAGAGATTGATATCAACATTGTAGGCAGAGTGACACAAACCACTCAAACAAATTGCTATGTTATATATAAGAGAATAACTAATAGGAAAGCTATTATCTTGTGATAAGAAAAGATAATTTCCTTCACTCCTATAATATCTGAAGAAATCATAATCCAAACGTAAAGTTAAATCTTCCACTCTTATCCCATTACTAATACTCTTTGCTGAGCTTTTCCTACCACATCTAAATTCAATAAGCATATAAAATTTGATTCAAGAACATAATATTACGAAAACACAACAAATACTACTAGAATGACGGGGGAAAAATTTATAGTTTGATCCATACCGTGATTTGCTCTTAAATGAGTTCTTTGACTTCTTCTTCCCCATGCCACCACTATTTCTCTTTTGTTTCTTCTCACTCATATCGCTCTGGAAGAGCTCTCTCATCTCGTCCGTCCTTGACTGTGTTCTTTGGGCAGGACGTTTTGATTTCCTGTTAGCCTCCTCTTTCTTGCCAGCTTTGGCCTTTGCTTTTAAAGCCTTTGCCCGTCGATAAGCAAGGTCAACCAATGATATACCATTCTTTTCTTTCTTACTTTTATCACCACCCTGCAGCAGATACATAAAAAAAGCACTTTACAGTAAATATATTCTAGAACTGCTTGAATATGAAATGAAAATGAACAAAAAAAAATGTTTTCTATTATTCATTAGTAACATAGAGGATCAGATATAAGATAGTTGACCCCTCTTATGATTAGATTTCTATAACCTCCAAATCAATGAGAAAGCAGAAGTAGCCTTACGAAGTTTGCCAAAAAGGTGGCAGAAGGAAACATCAAATTTTTTATGCTCAATATAGCCCACAGCCCAAGTAATACATTAAATTTTCTCTTACCACAATATGGACCACCCATAATGGCATCCTGTAAGCCACTGACCCCCCTCACTACCCAAAAGAAACGCAAAAGAAAAAATAGAGGGGGAGAGAGGAAGAGGGGAGAGAGAGAGAGAGAGAGAGAGGGAAAGAAAGAAGGAACAGAAGCATACTTCTGGTTTTTCCATTTGATTTTCATCTTCCAACATCTCTCGGACTGCTTCCAACCTTCGACGCTTTTTCCTAGGCAGATTTTTCTGCTTGGCAGAAATAGAATGTGTTATGACAATATTTTTGCACAATGTTTCTCAACAAAATATATAAATGATCCAAATTTAGGACCACAACAAATCATAACATTACCTCACGTTCCCGCTTTCTCTTTTCTTTCATTTTCAGGTCCTCTGCTTGTTCAGCACTTATTACCTCATGCCCAGAACTTTTTCCTTTCCCTAAAGATGCCTGCCAAAAGGATTATAAGAATGATGTAATAACAGTAAAATGTTTATGAAAAAAACTGATACCTGCAAATTTACCATTTAATATAATGCTACTAAGTTGTTACTTGCCAAATAATACAAACAAATCAGGATCCTACTGGCTATTCATCATCCATATTTATCTCATCAAAAGTTAATATTCATCTGAAAGGGGTATAGCTTTTGCGCACGTAAGCTCAGACAGCACTAACTGAATGTTACCAGGTAATGAACAGGAAATGGATGAGCAGAGGATATCCCATCCATGGACATGTGTTTTCTTGTATTTTAAAAAATAAAGATACTTATCTTTGTCGGGAGTAGTAAAGTGTATTAAAGTAGTGATGGGAATAGTGCTAAGTATAATAAGGTAAGGTAAAAGATATATTAGTAATATACCCCTCTTCATTAAAATTATGGTATTTCCTTTTATTTCTTATTTAAACTTGTATAAATAGATGCTTCATATGTCAATAAGACACACTTCATACTCCACATAGTATTCAAGCCATAGATTTAAAAAAAAAATCCTTAATCTTTTATAAATAAATCCTATTCAGCCTTTATCGTCGAGAAAAGAAAAAATCATAAGGAGTAAGGCCAGCCTTCACAGCCGGTCACCTTAGACAAACTTCTGACTATCATAGTTGCCAACCACCAGTAGTAAGACCAGCCTTCATCAGACGGCAGCAACCACAGAGCCGCAAGCTGTGGCTCCTCCTTCTGCTACCAGAATCACACTGTCATCATCCTTTGCCAATTACAGCCGCCTCCATGCTCAGTCGCATACACCAACCTGCACCAGCAGCCTCCTAATCCAGCAACCTCCCTGGGTCACCTTCTGGTAAGACTATGGAAAGCAGCAAATGCAGCTGCTATGAAAAGATTTATTGAGATAGATAGAGAATATCAATTTATGGTAAGACTCAATTAAGAATATGATTAGCTAAGAGTCCAGATCCCCAGGAAGGAAGAAATTTCATCTCTGAATGAGATAATATCCTCAATTAGCAAGAGGAAAATAGAAAAGGGGTTATGTTCAAAAACCTTGCACTATTGATAACTCTGCATTTGCAACTAAGGGCTATAAATCGCGGGAAGAGTCTAATCACAATAAGAGCAAAGAGAGGAGAAAACAGGGGCAACCTCTGGCGTACCTTCTGTAAGAAGTCTTGGCACATCAAAGAAAGTGTTGGAAGCTTCATGGTAAGGCCCCACCTCCAATAAAGACTAGGGGTACAAGAAGACTCAGGAACAGGCCGACATGAACAAGGAATAGAAAATTGCAGACCAATCTAACTTCAATGCGAAGATAGAATGCCTAAGGACCTGTCTCGAACATCTTTAAAGGCCTAAAGGTACATGTCTCTTACTACACTCAAATACGTTCCCTATTCCTCACAGTTTAAATGTCTCAGATAAGGTGTTTACAATGTCATTGGTTGTGGACTCAGGAGATACTAATCACATGACTAATTCCTATAATTTTTTTAATTTTTATGCTCCATGTCCAAATAATAGGTAAACTGTTAGCGATGATAGTTCACTAACCATAATGGTGGGAATCAGAACCATAAACTTGCTCCTTATTTCACTCTTAGTGATGTCTTCTGTGTCCCAAAATTGTATACCAATCTCATATCTGTGATCAAATTATCTCATGACCTCAATTGTAAAGGGATTTTTCTTTTACTCCCTTTGTGAATTTTAGGACTTGAAGTCGGGAAGAATGATTGAGCTCGGGACAGGATATACTTTCTGGATGCACCCATTTACAAAATCATCCCACAAGAAGAGCCTGAATCTCAAGTCTCACAAAATGTGTCTGAACCTTCAGCCATGAAGACTCACACTTTACCCAAGTGTACCCAAGAAGAATAAACTTGGACCTTGATCCAAAACAAGGCCAAGGGTCCGAGCCGAGGACTTGAAATGAGGTAAGCACTGAGAACCACATACCTTCTGATATTGATATGGTTGTTACACTTAAAGAAGATAAAGAGAATACACTAAGCATCCGCTCTATCCACTTTCAAATTTTATCTCCTTTGAAAAAAATTTAGCAACTCATAAGAACTCTCTCATGAGCTTAAATGCAGTATTAGTACCTAAAACATTATCTGAGACTTTAGACATTGCAGGTTTGAGTGTTCCATTTGGCTACTAATATCGCCTTATACTTCTCTCTCATTCCTTCGGGGTTGTATTTAATAGTGAACACTCACTTGCAGACAACAGGTCTCTTTCCTTTGGATAAGTCTACTACTTCCAACTTTTATTTCAAAAAGAAAAAGTCTACCATTTCCAATGTCTGATTTGTTTTCAAAAAGAAAAAACTACAAACTGTCTACAGGATTCTTCACTACTTGAAGGGCACTCCTAGGAAGAGAATTACGTTAGAAAAAGGAAAAAGAAAAACATTATAGGATAACTAGTTGAAGCATACGCTGATGTCTGACTATATAAGATAACTAGTCGATAGAAGATCCACTTTAGGATTCTGCACCTTCATTAGAGAGAATTTGATGACTTGGATAAGTAAAAAGCAAAATATGGTGGCTTGGTCTAGTGCTAGGGCTCAAGGTATATGTACTCTTATGGTTGAAAATGATTTCAGAAAATTTAAAGATTTAGTGAGATGAAATGATAAGAGTACCGTGATAATGAATTATCTATTAGTATCCTTCATAATTTGGTACAATATGACAAGACGAAACACATTAAGATAAACAAATATTTCATTAAGAAAAAACAAGATGTGGATTGATATGTACTTCGTACATGCTTACCACATTGCAGCTTGCGGATGTATTGACGAAATATTAAGTAGTTCTGGGTTCCAAAGTATTATTGTCAAGTTGGGAATAGAAGATATTTGTTTACTACCTTGAGGGGGAGTGTTGGGAATAGTGCAAAGTGTATTAAAATAGAGTAAAGCGTGTATTAGTGATATACCCCTCTCATTGTAATTAAATGTATTTCCTTTTATTTCTCATGTAAACTTGTGTAAAAAAGTGTTTCATATTTCAATAAAACACACACTTCATTCGCCACAATCTTTTCTGTAATAAGAGCATTAGCAGTGGATTTACAATCCCATCCAAAGGGATCAATCTTCATGAAACAAAGCTTCCTGTCTAAAAAGAAGACATAGAATTCCATTCCAGAGGATGCACCTGAAGAGCCCAAAGGGAGGGGGGAAAGAAGGGAAGGAAACTCCTTATTACCCTAAAAGAAGAGTTAGATTTCACATAAATAGCACTGGTTTCCCTACCTTCAAAAATGCAAAGTAAAATTAATTCTATTGGCATAGCAACTATTCAGTACCTGCAGAGCCAAGCTTAATCACAAAACTATTGAACTATCCTAAACATTCACATCACACAGAAGGAACACACAAAATGTATATGAACAAATCGTGAGATTACACAGGTATAACCTTTTCTGTCTTTGCTGCAAGCTTTTTCTCCTTCTCTGTCAAAAACCAGGTTTTTTTAGGGCGGGAATATATTTCATCTTGATGTGCAATCATGTTTTCTGCCTGCAAAGATAATGCAATGCACATGTTAACATGTGTAAAAGTAACCCTTTCAAATGGAAAATTGATTGCTCAAGAAATTTAACATTAGATACACAAAGCAAGTCAGTGCGGCGTATTAACTGTTTTAGAATTTATAGACTTTTTAATTTTTATGTCAAAAAAATAAAGACTAAAGAACAGATATCAAGTCAAAATTACATGTAGTACTTAAGTTCAATACCTTTGTTGCTTCCATTTCAGCTTTCCTTAGGGCTCGCTCCTCCCTGAAATACAAAAGGTCATTATTCCTGGAAGCAATAAAAAATTGGAAAACAATGATAGTTCAATAGAAGAAAACCTCTCTTCTTCAAGAATTGCTGCCACTTGCTCTTCCATTTGATCAATTATCTGTGACCACTTGCTGATTGATTGCTCAGCAACAATTCTTCTCTTCAACTTTGAACCAACTCTTTTAGTCTATTATCCAAAACAATATGCAGCGAAAATCATAAGCAAGCTGTCAGCAAGGTGAATTTTGAAGTGAAAGAAAGAAGATCCTCCACTAAACTGTGCTTTGGTGCAATTTTTATTCTAGTTTTGGTTTAGATTTTGCTTGCAACTGATGAACTTCTGTGGTTTTTTCATGGGTTTTTTCTTTGAGTTTTATTGTATTTATTCAAAAGGGAAAAGGAAATATATCTAAAAAACTATACTTTGCAACATCTCCAGAAGTAAAATATGATAGCCGAGCAAATTGGTCAGTCCCGAGGTTTTAGATCCCAGAATTCTACTGGAGCTCATTTGAGGAATAAGTTCCATTCAGGAGGACATCTATAGCACGAGTGTTTTACCAAGAAAAACACTTCTAATTTGATAAGGAAAATACAATAGTTCTACTTGGAGCTCTATGGACGTGACCTGTTTGTCAGTATTATGTGTTGCAAGGTCTTTTCTCTTCCTATGGAATATTTCAGTCAATCTTAGGAAGCCAAGTTTAAAGACGAGAATCAGGGAGCTGCTTACGCAAAATTTTGAGAAAAGACTTGATTGTTGAAGAAGGTTTTTAATTATCAGGGCAGGCTTATTCTTGCAAAAAGCACCTTGTCCAATCTACCAGTTTACTACTTGTCATTGTTCCCAATTCTACTCAGTGTTGTTAACAGACTGGAAGCAATAAAATGCCATTTTTATGGGGAGATACAGAAGAGCAATAGAGAGTTCAGTTTGGGGCACGGAATGCCATTGTCAAACGCCTTTGTGGACAGTTGGTCTTGGCATTAGATCACTGATGAGCTTTAATAAAGTATCATGCGGCAAGTGATAAGAAATATATGACTGCCCAAGATTGCTTGCGCTGGTGGTTGTTTAGAGTAAATTTTGGGCTGAAGGGCACAGGATGCAGGACAAGTGGTTTAGAGCTTCCAGTGGCACTAGCATTCGGAGGCAGATTAGAAAGAGGTGGGAGGATTTTGATAATTGTATTCGGTTTAAGGTGGCTTCTGCTTTGAATCAGGCTTCTGCATGATGCTTGATGTGGCACTCCTCATTGCAAAATCAGTTCACTTTCTTGGTTTCTTTGTCAGAAGGAATACGCTTTTGATTTGGTCTAAACATTTTTCTACATGTGTGTGTGTGATGTTCATGAAACTTCTTCTCCTTCTTTTCTAGTTATATCTCCTCTATTGTCCAATAAAAACTGAATGGTGGAAGATTAAGGACCATAAGATATTACAGAGAGGCTGTCACAACCAAATTGTAGGTTCTTTGGCTAGATCGAAATGCCTGAAAATTTAAGCAACAGTTTTCAACCCCCACGGTAATTTGGCACCTAATGATCTCCATTTCTTTTCTTTGGGCATGGGCCTAATGTCTCTTACGGGGTGGTCCTATCTACTTTGCAAATGGATCAACTGGCTATTTTATTTTAATATTCTTTTCTTTGTCTCATGTTTTGCTTTCTATTGGATGATACCTTACTCTCATCCAATCTGTAAGAGAGCTCTCTCTAATAAAGTTTCTTCTTTCATCAAAAGAAGAAAAGAAAATTAACAGACATCTCAAATAAGATATAAATTAACTCACTATAGCTTTTAAAAGAGAACGATCACTATCCGTCACAAACGTAACCGCATATCCTTCTCTGCCAGCTCTGGCTGTGCGACCCACACGATGAACATAGCTGCAGAAGAAAAAAAACCACCAGAAAGCATAAATGAGCCGACGAAGTTAAAAAAGGATTTTAAGTTCATATAAACCAACAGAACTATTAATTATCGAAATAGCAGCATCACTAAGATGCTGTAGTGTAAGTTGATGAGCATAATACAAATGACAGCATAAAAAATCATTGCAAATGTACCTTGTGAGGTCACGAGGGCATGCATAGTTTATAACTGTTTGAACCCCAATTATGTCAAGTCCCTACAAATGGTCACCAAAACTTAAACGTCAATCAGAAAAAAAAAATGAGACTTATATCAATGCAATTTACCGTTCAAATGTTTGGAAATATTACACAAACAATGGAAATTAGTCAAAAACTTACGTACTAATATAAAGATTTTTATCTTTTTTTCTTTAATGCTAATAGAATACGTGTAAAGATTGGAAACTTGAGCATTTTTTAAGAGGAAAATAACAAGGCACCAAGGATGTTCCACCAGAAAAG